CTTTCTACACATCGGTCGGATTGGGAAGGGGTTGAGATATAAAACACTGGGGTAGTTGGTGGGGGCGGAACGGATACAAAAGCAGAGGGATATTGAGGGATGATATGGATTGTTTAGAGGTTGGAGGTGATACCCCTTGACTAGCTTATCGTCCATTCTATCGCTCTTTTAATTTTTCTTTGTGTATTGGTCTTAGGCATTTTCCTGGATTCTGTGATTCTAGACACCTGATGTTTCCTTTCCTTTCTTTTCTTTTGATATCATATGCACTCGTTTGTGAGTTGTGGCGTCACACCAGTGGTTCTATATCTTGGGTTGGTGGGGGTTGCTAGTGTTTGAACTACCCTTCGTTTGCTATTGTACTTATACCCTTTCCCTAGGCCAAAATTCACCTCTTATCTCCTTTGCCATTTTGTCGTGCATCGGGTTGGGACACATTTCTTTTTCTTTCGGCTTTTAAATGTACCTTGATGGGCGACTGTATACAGAAGAAAGGATAAAATATCGCATACGCTCATATCTATCAATGCAGAACCCCCCCTCTAAATAAACCAACAAAAGAAAAAAAAATGTATAGAACCAGCAAAAACAAAACACAAAATAAAATCCAATCAACTCCTGCTTCTACTCCTCCCACTCCCATTTCCATCCCGGCTATTACCATCATAACCACCATCACCATCACCATCACCATCATCATCATCATCCCCCCTCTCCAACCCGGCCGTAATCCCCTCAACATACGAGTTCGCCTCAACCCCCAACCGCCCAACATCAACCACATCCCCCTTCCCCCCGGCATTTCTCCTCCGCATAACGTTCGTCATCGCCCTAACAACCTCCTCTTCTTCCCAAACACTGCCTCCCTCCCCTAGCCCTCCCAGAGATGTCCCCAACAACCCAGAGCCCTCCATAGCCACCACAGCCGTCCAGTACGCATCATCCCTCGCTTTCAGCCCGCGATCCCGCACAGTCGCGTTCCGCACGACGCTAACCGCATGCACTTTCGCCGTGGCATTGGCCAGGGTCGCGGAGGCGATCGCAACGAGTTGATCCGTGACCTCTGCCGGGGTCCGGGGTGTGTAGAAGAATCTATGCGTGGCAGCGAGGTAGATTGTGCCGGCGGCGAGAGCGTCGAAGATTGTAAAGGTGAGCAGGCGGAAGGTCGTGAGGTTGTTGTGGAAGCTTGTGGGGATGTCTTGTGGGTTTGCGGAGGGGGTTTTGTGGTGTGCTTTTGCGGGTTTGGGGGAGGAGGCGGGGTTGTAGAAGGCAACGAGGAGGGTTTCGAGGAGAAGAAGGGAGAGGGCTGTTAGGGTGAATTTCGAGCGGAAGCGGCTAGCACTGGAGCCGGTGAGGGGGTTGGAGGTTACGAGGCCCGTTATTAGGAGATGGAGGAGATGGGGGAGGAAGGTGTGTAAGGGGAGGTAGTAGAGGAGGTATGTTGTTTCGGCATCCGGGGTGCAGAAAGGGCAGGCTAGTAAGGTTTCCGGACCGTAGCGTAGGTAGAGTCTACGGAGGGTGGGGGAGGTGAATTTTGCTTTTAGCTGGGTGTCGAGGCTGGTGAGGGTATTGTTTGGGCGGAGGCGGGCGAGGCGGCTAAAGAGGATTTCGGTTGGAGTGTTAAGGCGAGACTGAGTGAGGGCGAAGATGTTCGAGGACGGCGCATGTGGGTTCAGACCTGTCCAGGCCGGGAGTGAGAGGAAGAGGAATAGACAGGTTGAGATGAAGAGAATGTTCAGGGCAAGGGCTGCTCCTGGCGGCAAGGGACGAGGCTGGGGACGTTGGGCGAGCGAGGAGCGGAGGGAGTGGAAGCAGGATCTCGCCTTGCGAAAGAGGAGTGGGGAGAGGAAGATCAACAGGGTTTTGTAGCTGGACATTTTTGTTACTTAGTATTTATTAGTGGATAGAGATTGGAGAAGACATACGTATCGTAGTTACCCATTATGACCGGCGGGCGAGGTCAGCTCGCGATATGTGTGTTTGTGCTGTTGTTGTTCGATGTGGAAAAGAATCGCGATGGAGATGTTGGATGTTGGCCAGGGATGGAGCTTGTGACAACTGCCCTATCGATGATGAACGGAGAAACACAGAAAAAACCTGTTCATTACTATTATTTGCTATGAAGTTATAATGAGAGAGACGCATATGAATCCACGATTTCTCCGGGTTATAAAATATGCGTATCTTAGGCGCTTAATCGAGCTTCTGTAATGCTTGCTTTATAGCGCATGTAAAGCCTGCTGTTGGATATAAACAAGCAAAAAGAATGTCACTTGTCACAGAAAGCGCGCTACGGAGGCACATACTCCGCGTTTAAATGTTGCAGGATGGATAGTGTGATATCCTGGGGACCAAAACAACGTGAGATAGAAAGCTAGCTGCGCTGCGTATAGAGCATGCCACGTACATCCCCCGTAACATTATGATCTTGAGGAAGCTCCTCCACCGATCCTTTCATCATGATCCTGTCCAACAGTCTTGCGCTACGCACTCTGGTGTGCAGACAATTCCATGCGTGGGTGGTTCCCGACAGTAGGCATATTTATATTTACTCCTGAAAAAAATATCATATATATATATACATATATATATTCGGATTTAAGGGCGAGATCTCCCACGAACCGTGCAGTCTGATGCCGATGGAGGAATGCCAGATGGAAAGCTTTCGTCCTCCCTCTGAGACAAGTACGGCGCAAGGGTAACTATCAATCGAACTGGGGAGTATTCATCGACGCAACACCAATCTCTAATGGCAGAAAGAAGCGGCGAATTTGCCTTTTAGCTCGCTGGATCAGCTAATAAGGAACTAGCTGCGGGGTCCTTGTCCCATGGATTTCCAAGGATTGGTGTTCAGGGCATTCAGGCACACCGCAACCCCGCTGAAACGTGCCCTTCCTTCTTTTCCTTGTTGCGGGACCAACACCAACACGCCGTGGCTTGGAGAGGAAGAGAGAACAAAAGTGGGACCTACGCAGCGCGCAAGCCACATTTCTCGTTCCGCTGCAGGATCACGGAGAGGGATCCCCATGATAATCCGTGATGGGACGTCATGACTAGAAAATTGAGATAAAGGGATCCGTTATGAGTATGGATGAGCAGAGGGGAAACTGACTTAAACCAACTGATGTTCATTCCTCCGCATCCGAACCCTGGTCAGCAACCGAGGGCTTATGGTAGTTTGGGATTAGCTGGTCAGATGAACAGGGAGACACGGCTGTGTTCTGCAGCTTGACGTCTTCATAGCGTGGCCAATTGGGCGAGAGTGATTAGGAACAGAGGCCAAAGGAGGAGGAGGATGAAAGAACGAAGACGCAGTCGGCGGCGACTGAGGCGGGGAGCCAGCGGAAGCGGGATGGGGCTTGTTTTGTTGAGGACCCAGCCAGTACCTGGTACTGACGATGCACGCAAAATA